GTAGCTAACTTCCTTGTATTGGAGTTTTCCTCCTAGAACTTTCTATAGGACTGGGTTAGTCGGTGTATTGTTTAAATCTGGTTTTGTCATGGAATATCTTGTTTTGTCCATCTATATTGATTGAAAGCTTTGCCTGGTATAGTAGTCTGGGTTGGCATTTGTGGTCTTTTAGTGTTGATAGACTGTCTAACCAAGACCTTCTGGCTTTCATAGTTCCCATGGAGAAGTCAAGTGTAATTCTGATAGGTTTGCCTCTATATGTTATTTGACCTTTTCCTTAGTTGCTCTAAGTATTCTATCTTTATTTTGTATGCTTGGGGTCTTGATTATTATGTGGCGAGGAGACTTTTTTTTTTTGTGGTCCACTCTATTTGGTGTTCTGTAAGCTTCTTGTACCTTCATTGGCATGTCTTTCTTAAGGTTGGGAAAGTTTTCTTCTATGATTTTGTTGAATATGTTTTCTGCCCCTTTGAGTTGGGTTTCTTCACCTTCTTCTATACCTATTATTCTCAGGTTTGGTCTTTTCATGGTGTCCCATATTTCCTGGATGTTTTGTGTTAGGGGTTTGTTGAACTTAAGATTTTCTTTGGTCGATGAATCTATTTCTCCTAGTGTGTCTTCAACACCTGAGATTCTCTCTTCCATCACTTGTATTCTGTTGGTTATGCTTGTTTCTTAGTACCTGACCGTTTCCCCAGTTTTTCTATTTCCAGCATTCTTTCAGACTGTGTTTTTTTTTTTTTTTTACTGTCTCCATGTTAGCTTTCAACCATTGCACTGTTTGAATTATTTCTTGTAATTTTTGCTTCGTGTTTTCCTTCCTTTCTTGCATTTGTAGGGTTTTTGGTATGTTTTTATTCCATTTCTTTTCTTTTCTTTTCTTTTTTTTTTTTGGTTTTTCGAGACAGGGTTTCTCAGTAGTGTTTTGGAGACTGTCCTGGAACTCACTTTGTAGACCAGGCTGGCCTCGAACTCACAGAGATCCGCCTGCCTCTGCCTCCCGAGTGCTGGAATTAAAGGCGTGCGCCACCAACGCCCGGCCTTCTTCCATTTCTTTAAGGGATTTTCTCACATCCTCTTTGAGGGCCTCTATCATTTTTATGAAGGTGTTTTAAGGTCATTGCCTTCTGCTTCATCTGCACTGGGGTGCTCAGGTCTTGCTGCTGTAGAATCTCTAGACTCTGGTGGTGTCGTATTTGTTTGTCGGTTTCTAGTGTGTTCTTATATTGCCTCTTTCCCATCACTTCTTCCAGTGGGTGTAGAAAGAGCCTCTTCCTCTCCCGGTGGGTAGACAACCAGGGTTCCCTTTTAGTGGGTGCAAGCAAATCCAGTAGTCTCTGGCCTCTGCTCTCTGCTCTCTGTTCTCTGTTCTCTGGCCTCTGTCCTGAGTGCGGGCAGGAGTGGACCGGCTCTCTCTGCAGGCTTCCTGGTTGCTTGGTCGTCTGTCCGGGGACGAGTCGACCTGGCTGCAGTCCCTAGGCCCGGGGATACCTAGTTTAGAATGTTTTTAATATTTATTTGTTTGTGTGTGTGTGTGTGTGTTGTATGCTATAATGCATGTTGTGGAGGTCAGAGGACAACCTTGTGGAGGTGGTTCTCTCCTCCTACTCTTTTGAGTAGCTGAGACAGGGTTTCTCTGTGTAGCCCTGGCCGTCCTGGAACGCACTGTGTAGACCAGCGTGGCCTCAAACTCACAGATACTCACCTGCTTCTGCCTCCTGAGTGCTGGGATTAAAGGTGTGCGCTACCACTGCCCTGCTGTCTTTCTGCTTTCATGTAGGTTCTAGGGATATAACTCAGGTCTCCAGGGTTATGTGACATCCCTGGGATTAACTTTAGCATATGCTGTGGTTTAGACTCCCTTCCTGGACACGGGGAAAAGAGCTGAAGGGATGTGTTACTATTCAGTAAAGAAAAGGAGGGGTCTTCAGTAAATGAAGATAAGAAAGTATCTGCAGAAAGTGGTCAAGAGAGCCTACTACTCTTCCAGAGGAGCCGGGTTTGGTTCTCACTGGGTGGGCACCTCTAACTCTGGCTCAGGAGATCCAGTACCTCTGTGTGTACCTACACAGTGAACACACACACACACACACACACACACACACACACACACACACACACACACACACACACACACACACACGCAATCATTGGGATCAGAGTCAGGAAGAATTCTACAATAAATCCCATTAATTTGGTTTCTTTGTATTTATCTATTTTTAACAATGTATATGTGCGTATGAGTGCAGGTGCCAGCAGAGGCTAGAGACCTCAGATTCACCCAGAGCTGCAGTTACAGGTGGTTGCTTGTAAGCCACTCAGTGTGGGTGCTGGGCACTGAACTCGGGTCCTGAAGCAGTATGCATTCTCAATTACTGAGTCATCTCTCCAGTCCCGAACTCTTTTGAAAATCTTTTATATATTCTCTGAGAGTCTTATACATATATGTATTAATTATATCTCCCTACACGGTCCCCAGGTAGTCTTCCTCCTTCCACTTTTTGTGTGGTTTGTTGTAAACCACTGAGTCCTTTTCAGTGCTGCCTGCTGGAATATTGACTCATCTGGGTGGCTTGACATCGTGCAGGCCACCCTAACTGCAGCGGATTCCTGAGAGGACCGACTCCCCGTCCTGACTCTTAGTGCTCTGTCCACCCCCTTCTCCACCATGCTCTCTGAGCCCTGGGGGCCAGGCTTCTTGTTTATCCGATCTTGCTGGCTTCGTGGGGAAATTTTCTGTGGCTTTCTTTATTTCCTCATTTTACCAGAATGTAATTCTGGCATACTATTCTCCCACAGTAGTACGCTAGTTGTTACACATATTAAACAGCTGCAGGATCACAGAACTTTCCCCCAGCATTCCTGGAGTGGCATGTGCTTCGCAGTTCATAATGGTCCAGACTCGAGGAAGGTAAAGTGGCCCTAGACCGGACACTGCATGGTACATCCAGCAAGGGCCAGATCGGTATTCTAAACTCACGCACGTTGATATTTTGACAAATATATCCTGTGATATACTTGTAATATAACATATAATGCTATAAGATGCTATAGTTAGTCTTCTGTCTTTTTTTTAAAGATATATTTATTTATTATATATACAGTGTTCTGCCCACGTGTGTGTCTGCACACCAGAAGATAGCACCGGGTCTCATTATAGATGGTTGTGAGTCACCGCATGGTTGCTGGGGATTGAACTCAGGACCTCTGGAAGAGCACCCAGTGCTCTTAACTGCTGGACCATCTCTGCAGCCCTTGTTGTCTGTCTTAATTGGTTTTCTGTCAGTTGTGTTAACTAACACTCTGCTGGGGAGAGGTAGACAAACACCTGCTCCCTCCAGACAGGGAACCAATGGCAGACCAGCCTAAGGGCACCACCAGAGTCCACCTTGATAAACCAATGGCAGACCAGCCTAAGGGCACCACCAGAGTCCACCTTGATAAACCAATGGCAGACCAGCTTAAGGGCACCACCAGAGTCCACCTTGATAAACCAATGGCAGACCAGCCTAAGGGCACCACCAGAGTTCACCTTGATAAACCAATGGGCTTTACTGAGGTTATTTACAGGGGTGTGGGTAGAGGATGACTACTTACAAGGGCAGGAATGACTCAAAGGACAGCTATGTCACCAAAGCCCACTCCAGAATGTGTCAGGTGACAAGACCTTTCCTGGGGAGACACACCACACACTCTACTCACCCCAAATAGGGGATCCCACAACAGATCAAAGCACAGGTAACCTCCGAGTCCAGCTTAGTGAACCAGTGAGCTTTATTGGGGTAACTTACAGGACTGTGGGTCAGGGGTTACTCACAGGAGCAGAGATGACTCAAAGACAGCTGCATCACCAAGGCCTAATCCCCGATGGGTGACAGCTCACAAAAGCTGGGAAACTTGGAGACCAGCCCAAGCCTGCAGGCAGCTCAGCGGGTTGGAGAGTGTCCTTTCCAAGTGACTCTGTTCGCATATTTGTGCTTCTCAGGATTCAATATTCAAGAATATCCTTGTAGGATTTAAAACTTTATAGAGCTATTCACTCAGTTTAAGAATATAATTTTTTTCATAAATTTACGAAGTTGGATGTCCCCATAATCCAGCTTTAGATGATTTTCATCATACAGGTAATATCTCTCTTACCCATTTACAGTTAATTTCTATTCCCCCCTTTAATCCCAAATAACTGCTCAATGTTTCTGTATAAATATTCCCTTTTGTGAACATTTCATGAGGTGAAATACATTTAACTGGTGAACAATCTATGGAATTAGATGTGGCATGTGATGTAAAATGTATCACATACACAGAAGGGATTTGTTTGTTCTCTTTCAAACTTCCAACTTTCCTGAATTTCGGTTACTAAATATTTCTGGAAAGCCCTGTCCTGCATTTGTTTCCTGTTGCTGTGATTAAATACCCAGAAAAAAAAAAAAAGCATCTTAAAAGGAGAAAGGATTTACTGCTTCACAATTCTAGGTTACAGTCCATCACGGAGGGAAAGTTAAAGCAGCAGGAACTTAAAGCAACCAGCTACTTTATGTCCACTGTTAGGAGCTGAGAAATGAGTCCATGCGTGCGCTGCTCAGCCAGCTTTCTCGTTTTTATTCTGCCTGGAACCCCAAGCCCAGGGAACGGTGCTGCCCATAGTGAACAAAGGAAGTTAAGACATTCTCAGAGGCCCTTCTGCCAGGGGTTCTGGATTAAAAGTAATCACCACAGAGCAAGATCATTAATAAAGAAATCTGTAAAATCCGAGGCCGGCCTGGTCTGCAAAGTGAGTTTCACGACAGTCAACGATGTTACATAGAGAAACCCTGTCTCAGAAAACAAACAAAAGTAATTTCCATAAGACCTTAGTATAGTAGTGGGGATTACAGTAAGGCACATTGTTCTTGTTAACATTGTGTTGTTATAACCACTAATTGTAGGAACTCCTTTATTACACAAGCTTCATTTCTTCAGTACAGGAAAACTAATTCTGACGTCTTGGTGTATTTCAGAATCAGGGTCTAAGCGTGAAACCAAGAAGTTACCATCAAATCAATGTAACAAATCTAGGCAAAGTGTCTGCCAGAAACCAGTGTCTTCACAACAAAAGGACACCACAGAGAAGACAAAACAAAACAAAAATTCACTCACAAGCAAACCCAAGAAAGGACATTCGGGCAAGAAATCTTTAAAGTGTAATGATTGTGGAAAAATGTTTTATCGAAGTTTGTCTTTTAAGCTTCATCAAGACTTCCATGCTGGAGAGAGATCTTATGGATGCAGTAATTGTAGACAGGTTTTCAGACAGATCTTATCCCTCATTCTTCATCAGAGAGTTCACAATCAGAAAAAAAGCTATGAGTGTGATAAATGTGGGGAAAGTTTTAATAGAAAGTTAACCCTTATGATACATAGGAGAATTCATGATGGAAAGGAAAATTTTAACCATGAGAAGGCCCCAGGTTCAAGCCCATCTCTCAGTGTACACCATAATAATCACATTGTTGAGAGTGTCCACCAGTGCAGAAAATGTGGGAAAGCCTTCAGCCGAATGTCGTCCCTTTTACTTCATAAGAGAATTCACAACAGAAAGAAAATGAAAAAGTATAATAAATACAGGAGAGACTTAAAAAAGAAGACAGTCCTTGTAAATACAAAAGATTGTATTGGAAAGAAAACTCACGAAAACAAGAAGGCCTTAAGTCAGAGTCTCAAGCAGAGAACTCACCACTTAGAAAATCCTTTTACGTGTAGAAAATGTGGGAAGTCCTTCAGTAGGATCACAACCTTAATGCTTCATCAGAGAACTCATGCTTCAGGGAACCCCTACCAATGTGATAAATGTCAGAAAGACTTTAGACGGCTTTCAACCCTCATTCTGCACCTAAGGACTCATAACGGGGAGAAGCAGTTTAAGTGCAACAAATGTGAGAAGGTCTGCAATCGGCATTCATCCCTTATCCAGCATCAGAAAATCCATAAGAGGAAAAAGAAACTCATTGAGTGCACCGAATGTGGAAAGAGGTTTTGTGGAATTAAAAACCTTAAAGTACATCTGAACATTCATTCGGAAGAGAAGCCTTTCAAATGCAATAAGTGTAGTAAAGTTTTTGGCCGCCAGTCATTTCTTATTGAACATCAGAGAATTCACACTGGAGAAAAGCCCTACCAGTGCGAAGAATGTGGGAAAGCATTCAGTCACCGAATCTCTCTCACCCGCCACAAGAGGATTCACAGTGAAGACAGACCTTATGAGTGTGACCAGTGTGGGAAAGCCTTCAGCCAGGGTGCTCATCTTGCCCAGCATGAGCGGATTCACACTGGCGAGAAGCCCTATGCATGCAAAACATGCAAGAAGTCCTTTACTCAGCGCATATCCCTCATCCTACACGAACGAAGTCATACGGGGGAGAAGCCCTACGAATGTAACGAATGTGGGAAGGCCTTCAGTAGTGGCTCGGACCTTATACGGCACCAGAGAAGCCATTCTTTAGAGAAACCGTATGAATGTAGCAAATGTGGTAAGGCTTATAGTCGGAGCTCATCTCTGATTCGACATCAGAGCACACATTCAGAGGAGAAATCCTGAAGCTGTTGCTATCTCTGCAAAGGCCAAAAAGTTCATCAAAGAAGTGTTCTAGGGCATGGAGAATGTGTGTAAGTGTTCTTGACTTGTGATGATGTATGTCCTGATACACTCACCATAAGCTGAAACATTTAAAACAAAAATGTTTCGTATACCTACCCTACCAAATGTGATCATTTAGCATAACGTGGAGTCCCAGTCTTTCACTCTGCTCATTGAATGGCTTCCTGAGGGCTATGGCCTGATGCTGCTGCCCAGCATCTGGAGAGTAATCATACTGCTTACTGCTTATCTGCAGCCTAGGGCACGATAACTATTTCGAACCTAATGGATATCACTCCTGTGCCATCGTAACACTGAAAAATCCTAAATGAGAAATCATTAACTGGAGGGAGGGAACTATCTGCCTATAACATGTCTTGTGTCTACGGGGCCATTTTATGATGTCCTCCCTTTGAAAGCCAAAGAGCAAGAGTAGCTGGTGGACTTTGAACTGAAGATCTGAAATCGGCTGAGGCGTGCTCAGGATACTGGGTGATCGGGGTTTTTGAATGAAGGTGTTTTCCGGTGGGTATTTTATTTCCAGGGTAGCTTTGGAGACAGTTCACTAGATACCTACAGTGAGATGCAAAGCCCTAGTCGAGGTCCAGGGAAACGGACCTCAGAACTAGAACGCCCCACAGGGAGACGGGGTGGTGCCGCTCTCCTGGTAGAAACGTGTTGGGGTGAGAACAAAGAAGAGGGAGTCTTTGGGTTGTTAGATAGCGTTCACAGCGGTGCGGAGCACTGGTCAATACCACACTGCCTCCACGATGTGAAGATACACTGAAATTTGATAGGACTAAGACAGGCTGGGGGTGGGATGGGCAGGAGGTACCGAAGAGTGAGGAACCTCAGAGAAGGAAGAAGTGACTTTTTAACTTTTTTTTTTTGAAAATAGTCTATATTTATATAAACAGCATTTTCATGTAATAATGCTAGTTGGCATACAAAAAGTAACTGTGTCTGTGTTTTTACGGCCTGAATATTTGTGTCATCCCAAAACTCTTATGTTGAAGCCCTAAGCTCTCAGTGTGATGATATTTGGAAATGAGGTTAACGAAGTCATGATGCAGATGGGCCTTTTTAATACATATATTGATCAGAGACACCAGAGGGCTTGAACTCTTTCTGTACCGGATGAGAACACAGGCTGCTTTCTGCAAACCAAGAAAGAGCCCTTACCCATCCCTGACCAGTGTGATACCCTGACCTTGGATTTCCAGCTATTGAAGGAACTATGAGAACCTCATTTCTCTTTAAGTCAATTAGTCTGTGATACTGTGTTGTAACAGCTCGAGCTGATTAATACCTGGAAGAACTCCTGGGTTAATGGCTGGCTATTTTCCTTTGAGCTGTCCAACATGTTCAGTGTATTTCTCTGTCCCTCTTTCCAACTTGTGTAAGTTATATAAGAAATAAACTCTGAGTTCTTTTGTGTGATTAGATTGTATATAATCAGGCTCGTTTATATGTGTTTTCTTTCTGCAAAAGCTATTTAGGAGAACACTTGTTAAAAAAAGTTTATAGTGCTGACCATGGGAGTGTCTACATTTGACCACAACTGTTGGGGTTTGAATAGGAAATGTCCATCATTGGCTTATCCCCAGCTGGTAGGAGGCTCTGGGAAATTTTAAGTGAGGTCTTACTGGGGGAACTAGATCATGGGAGTGTGGGTGTGTCCTGGGGACTGTATCATGTCCCACCCTCTCAAAAAAATTTTAAGACTTTAAAATTTTACTTTATATGTATGAATATGTGATAGAAGACGCAGACCCACAGCCAGACATTAGGCAGAGCTCAGGGAACCCTGAGGAAGAGGAGGAGGAGGAAGGCTTGTAAATGCCAGAGGGGTCAAGGACACCAGGAGAACATAGCCCACAGAGTCAACTAAGCAGGACTCAGAGGGCCTCACGGAGGCTGAAAAAGCAATCTTGGAGCCTGCAACGGTCCGTGTTTGGTCCTCTGCATATGTTATGGTTCTTTAGCTTGGTGGTTTTGTGGGACCCCTAACAGCGGGAGTGGGGGTGTCTCCGCTTTTCCCTGCTCTTCAGACCCCTTTCCTCCTACTGAGTAGCATCATCCAACCTTGATGGGAGGGTTGGTGCCTGGTCTTAGTGTAACTTGTTATGCTGGCTTTGGTTGATACTCCAGGGGGTCCTACTCTTTTCTGAAGAGAAATCGAGGATCCCGGGGAGAGGGGAGGTGGTGAGGAGACTGCGAGGAGAGGAAGAGGAAGCTGCAGTCTGGATGTATTGAATGAGAGAATAAAGAGTTTAAAATATTCGTATGTATGAATGTTTTGCTTGCACGGATTCACGTGCACCATGCATGTGCCTGGTGCTCTCGGAGGCCAGAAGAAGGCATCGGATTCCCTGGAACTGGAGTTATCGCTGTGAGTCACCATGTGGGTGTTGAGAATTGAACCTCTGCAATAACAAGTGCTCTAAATTTCTGAGCCATTTCCCCACCCCCCTCTCCCCTTTCAGGTCAACCAATTTTTAGTATTTTGTTATGGCAGCTCAAGCTGACTGATACATTGGGGAGTTTTCACAAGAACCTCTATCCCTCCCCTTACCCCTCTCTTCTGATTACCACATACCCGGCTCACCCTACTACTATGATGGACTGAAACCAAAATAAATCTTACCTTGTTTTGCTCAGGTATTTGTCTCAGGAATAAAAAAGTCTAATACAAGTAAAACAACCTAAACTTATGGAAGTTCAACTTGCAGGCCGGGTAAAAGCAGCTGGTGTGCTGTTTTAATGTTACATTTTCAGATATGTAGACAAAAAGTCACTGCAGCAATGAAGAATTGGACAGAAGAGGATGAGGAGAGGCATGTTTGTCTCTCTCCATTTCTAGCCCCCTTCACCCCTGCCCAAATCTATATTCTCTCTCATCTGCCTGGGCGGTTGGTTCCAGATCGACAGTGTCCCTAAGAGCATGCCATCTGGCATGTGTGGCTCAGTGGTAGTAGAACATGTATGTATTCTACTTTGCCGCGGTAAAACATTGACTAAAGGCAGCTCAGGAAGAAAGGTTATTTGGCATACACTTCCAGGGCACATTTCTTCGCATGCTTAGCTATGCGAAGTATAGCTCAGAGTATCCTGCCCAGAGTTTCTTACCCACAGACATCGATTTCCAATTAAGACAATCGCCTACAGACATGCCCGCAGCCTGATCTGGGCAGTTTCTCAATTGAGACTCCAAATGAATCTGAGCTACAAGCCTGATGGACCTAAGTTCAATCCCTAGGACCCGCATGGCGAAGGGGGAAAACCAATTCCTGCAAGTTATTCTCATGCACACACAGTAAAATGTATTATCTAAAAAGAGTATATAAGATTGGACTACCCAAAAGACACCTTAAATGCAGGAAATAAATATAAAATGTGTGTGTGTGTGTGTGTGTGTGTGTGTGAGAGAGAGAGAGAGAGAGAGAGAGAGAGAGAGAGAGAGAGAGAGAGAGAGAGAGAGGTGGATAGGGGGTATAAACACTTAAAAAGCTGAAACCAAAGACCAAAGCAAGGAATAAAGGATAAAAAGTTACAGAGTAATTGCCAAGCATGTGGTGAGGCTCTAGGTTCAATTCTTAGCACAGAAAAAAAAAGCTATAATAAAGGGGTCAGTTTCCAAAACCACATAATTTTAAGTGGACATAAGTTGACTCCCAGAGGTACATATGAAATGAAGTTAAAGAGCCAACAGGCAAAAGGAGAAATAGATCTGAAGTAGGTAAGTGTTGGATGGCTTAGCAACTAGGATCACCACTTGGCTTGAGCTACCCACATAACTTATCCCAAAAAAGTGTTTAGCAACTTTACCTTCAAGCTACACATGTGTTACACAAGCAAGAGGACCTAAATTCAAATCTCCCAACACCCATGTTAGTCAGGCATGGCAGCACACGCCTGTCACCCCAGTTCTGGGAGGATCTGGGGGGGGGCGGGGTTGGTGGTCAGACAGAATAGTTGAAAAGGTGAATTCCAGGTTCATTGAGAGGCCTCCAAAAATAAAATAAAAAAAAAAGTAAGGCCCGGGGGGCCGGGCATGGTTTATGCCTTTAACCCCAGAACTCAGGAGGCAGAAGTGGGGGGATCCGTATGGGTTCAAAACTAGATTGGACTACTTAATAGATAGTTCCTGTTTGACAAAACAAGAAGTAGGGGGCTGGAGAGATGTCCCGGTGATTAAGAGCAACGGGTGCTTGTAGGGGTGAGCCCAAAGGGGCGTGGACAAGGGTGGGCACAGGTGAGGATAAAAGGAAGCGAAAGAAAAAGTACGCTCTCTGGGAAGCCTGTCACACTTCTGATCTCCCAGCTTGTATGTCAGTGTTTTCTGTTAATAAATATATTTGATTCCACGTTGTGGTTTGGGTACAGCTGCTGACAAGTGCTCTTCTAAAAGACTCTGTTTCAGCTCTCAGGACCTGTAGTTGCAACTCCAGTTCCAGGATCATAACCGGGGACCTCTGGGCACCTTTTATGGTGGTCTTGTGGGACTAAGTATAGGCAGATCTCTGTGAGTTCGAGGTCAGCCTGGCTTACAAAGCGAGTGAGTTCCAGGACAGCCAGGACTGCTAACACAGAAATCCTGTCTCAAAAAACAAACAAAAACCACAAGGACTTGTAGGTGCCTGTTATAATCCCAGACAGTGGCAACATATATTCTATTATTTATTTTTGGTTTTTCGAGACAGGGTTTCTCTGTGGCTTTGGAGGCTGTCCTGGAACTAGATCTTGTAGACCAGGCTGGCCTCGAACTCACAGAGATCCACCTGCCTCTGCCTCCCGAGTGCTGGGATTAAAGGCGTGCACCACATGAGTAGTTCATTTGTTTTATGGACATTCTCAAAGAGTCAGTTTCTGTTTTGATTTTCCATGAATTCCACTCAGAATTGGGGAGGGGCAGATGATGGGGATTGAGCCTTGCTGGGGGCCCCCTCATACAGGCTAGCCTGGTACTCAGGATACTCTAAGTCTTCTGTTCTATTGCTCCCATTGTTTCGAGAGAGATTTTTGTATGTTATGCATATGTTAGGAGTGTTTTGGCTGCATGTCTGCATGTGCACTATTTGTGTGCAGTACCCATGGGGGCCGTTAAGGGGACGTCAAAAGCCCTGACCCTGCAGTTACAGGTGACTGCTGGGAACTAAGCCAGGGCCACTGCAAGAGTAGCCACTGCTCTTAACCGCTGAGCCCTCTGCAAACCCCTAGTGTCCATTCTTAGGTCTTCTTGAATGGAATTCCTGATACGGGTGCTAGTTTGATTCAAATTTTGGGCACATTCCAGTTATCTTTCTGTCATTTGTTTTTAAGGTCATTCCGTTCTGGCCAGAAAACATTTCACAAGACTTGAATTCTTTTGAATTAACTGAGATGTAGGGCTGGAGAGATAGCTCAGTGGTTATGAGCACAGCGTCCAGACTGGGTGGTTCATCAACAGGTGTAACTCCAGCTCCAGGGAATCCAGTGCCTTCCTCTGGACTCTTTAGGCACGTGCACACATGCATGCGCGCGCGCGCGCGCACATACACACACAGACAAAATAACGTAATGTGTGGTGTTTTTTGTTTTTCTGAGACAGGTTTTCTCTGTGTAACAGGATGTCCTGCTTTGTAGAAGCAGGCCGGCCTTGAACTCAGAGATCCGTCTGCTTCTGTCTCCCAAGTGCTGGGATTAAAGGCGTGCGCCACCACTACCCAGCTGGAGATAGCTATGGTACATCTTGGTAAGTGCTCTAGGTCACTGATTACTGATCAGATTTTCTGCTTGTTTTATAAATACCCATTTTTCATATATATAACATTATATCTCAGTAAATTCTACCTCGGAGTGATTGCTTTACTCCAAAAAGCTTCATAGAACTTGAATAATGAAGTTAACATGTTTCCCCTCTATCAACAATTTAATGTCAACCCAAATGCATTAGATGTCACTCATTTAATACACACACACATAAGATAGGGTCTTGTGAGGCCCGTCAGTGGGGGTGCATGCCTTTAATCCCAGCACTTGGGAGGCAGAGGCAGGAGGATCTCTGAGTTCGAGGCCAGCCTGGTCTACAGAGTGAGTTCCAGGACAGCCTCCAAAACAATACAGAGAAACTGTCTTGAAAAACAAAAACAATGACTATATATATATGATCTTGTTTAGCCCAGGCTGGACTTGAACTTGCCACATAGCCAAGAATAACCGTGAACTTTTGTGCCCATCTTCTGTGGTGCTGGAGACTGGATGCGGGATTGTGCATGTTAATGAGGCACTTAACAAACCAAGCTGCATCCTCAGCCCCCAACTTCAGTATCTCTAATTAAAGCCAAAGTTCTAATGCCCCAGGTCTGTGTGGGCATTTAATCTTTATGATTAAAATGATCAGCTCTTCTTTGTGCAGCATCATATCTTTATTGTAGATTAATAGTATTTTACACTAGGCACTCTGCTCAGAAACTGACATGCGTGGTTTACTTCTCCCAATAACTTGAGGTAGAACCATTATTAGTCTCCTGAAGGGTACAAGGGACCAAATGCTCTGAACTTAGGGATGGAAAATGGAACAGCAAGGACTAGATTCTGGATCTATGCTCACTCTACAGGGATGGGGACAGTGGCATAAAGGCTTTAGAAGGCAGTTTGAAATAAGGGGCCTGCTAGGTTACCTTAAGGACTGTGTGCTTTTTCCCCTATGAACTTTTAGGTGTCAGTGAGTCATCTTAAGTAATGGAGGATAAATAATGTGACCAAAAGGTGCTTTTTGAAAGTGAAAAGACAGAGGCGTGGGTGGATATACCGGAAAGCTATTTCAGTAACCCACATAAAACAGATTCGACACGTAGACGCCAGGATGATGAAATATAAATGTCCTAATGGGTCAGATCTGGATCATGTTTAGGAGATCGAGACTATGTAGAGCTATTGGCGACTGGCTGGATGCAGAGGGTGGCGGGGAGGAAAGGGACAGGAGCGCCTCCATCGCGTGGACCCTCTCGTGATGAGCGAGATGTGCACGCTGTCTGAAGGACTTGCTGCAGTCTTTACACTCGTACGGCCTCTCCCCAGTGTGGATCCTCTGATGGAGGGTAAGAGACCCACTGTAACTGAAGGCTTTCCCGCAAATGCTACATTCATACGGCTTCTCTCCCGTGTGGATCCTCTGATGCTGAGCAAGGCCCGCGTTCTGGCTGAAGGTCTTCTGACATTCCTTACACGTGTAGGGCTTCTCTCCCGTGTGGCTCCTCTGGTGCTGAGTGAGCGATGAGCTGTTGCTGAAGGTCTTTCTGCACTCGGCGCACTCGTAGGGCTTCTCTCCCGTGTGAACTCTCTGATGCTGGTCAAGGTAGGCCATCTGACTAAAAGCTTTCCTGCAGACTTTACATTCGTAAGGTTTCTCTCCCGTGTGGACTCTCTGGTGTTGAGAAAGATGTGCATACTGGCTGAAAGACTTCCTGCATTCTTTACATTCATAGGGTCTCTCTCCGGTATGGATTCTCTGATGTACAATCAGGTATCCTCGGTGGCTGAACGCTTTCCCACACACATTGCACACATAAGGTTTCTCTCCCGTGTGAATCCGCTGATGCTGAGCAAGGAACGAACCGTTACTGAAGGCTTTCCCACACTCCATACACTCAAAAGGTCTCTCTCCGGTATGGACTCTCTGATGCTGCGTCAAGTGCGCGATCTGGCTGAAGGCTTTCTGACACTCCTTACACTGATAAGGTTTCTCTCCGGTGTGGACTCTTTGATGCTGAGCAAGATGCGCATTCTGGCTGAAGGTCTTCCGACATTCCTTACACTCGTAAGGCTTCTCCCCGGTGTGGATTCGCTTATGTTGAGCTAGGTTTGCGCTCTGGCTGAAGGCTTTCCCGCATTCAATGCACGCGAAGGGCTTCTCTCCGGTGTGAATTCTCTGATGGAGAGTAAGGGATGAGGTCTGGTTAAAGACCTTTTCACATTCATTACATTTGAGGACTTTCTTTTCTCCATGGACCTTCTTGTGTCTCAGTTCAGCAGGCTTTTTCTGGTAGCTTCTCTTTCGTGACTCACACTGAGGTCCTCTTTCTTTGGTAGAGTAACTTTGGGGGACATCGAGTATTGCATCCTGATGGAATGATTGCCAAGATGGATCACCCCCGCTACTTTGATCTTCAGGGGTGTCTCTATGAAGCTGATTAGAATGTGCCTCCTGACCTCCCAACTTGTTCTGAAACCAGTCTTCACTTGGATGGTCTTTCAAATTGGGATAGTCAAGGCTATAGCTAAAATGGCTTCTTTCCACTGGTAGGACTTTGGCTGAATCTTCATAAATATCTTGCTTTGATGAAAATTCAACGCCTTTGAATACATAATCCCAATCTAAAGGATACCAAGGTAACAGATGTTTTAAAATTAATTCATTATAAAAAAAAAGTGATCAAACAGAAAAAGTAAAATAAGAGAAATTAAAGGATTTAACATCTCTTAATGCATCTTTAAAACTAAATTAAGGAAGGTGATTAAGCTGGGCACAGTAGCATACACCATATTAATCCTAGCACTTGGGAGGCAGAGGCAGGTGGTTCTCTGTGAGCTTGAGGCCAGCCTGGTCTACACAGTGAGTTCCAGGGCAGTTAGAGCTAATCTATGGTTAATTTTTACATCCTAGGAAATATTTCTCAACATTTTTCTTTGTAATAAGTTCTAAAATATAAATTTTCGCCGAGCGGTGGTAGCGCATGCCTTTAGTCCCAGCACTCGGGAGGCAGAGGCAGGTGTATCTTTGTGAGTTCAAGACCAGCCTGGTCTACAAGAGCTATTTCCAGGATAGCCTCCAAACCTGTCTCCAAAAACCAATACACACACACACACACACACACAGATTCAGTTGATTCCTGAAGCCACAATGTCTTCATGAAAACATAAATTCCTATCAAACTGCTTGCTTTTATTAACTTAGTATAGGCTTTAATTTGAGTTTTCCTTATTTGTCCCCAATAAGATTACCACTTTTAAAAACGACATTTATCTAACGTGTACACATAAGTGAATGCTTTACCATTTGTGTGGAGGACAAGGGACAACCTGTGGGCTCTGGTTCTCTTTCCACCCTGTGTCCTAAGGGTCGAACTCTGGTCATCAGGCTCGGTGGTGCCTTTACCTGATGAGCCATCTCGGTGGGCCAACATATTCACATCAGTAAGTTAGGTCTTTTCAAGGGTTCTAAGCCATATCATAATACACTTCAAAGTGCTGACTGAAATCAGAGAGATGTTCTCTACACTCAAAAGAATTAAATTAAAAAAAAAAAATAGCCGGGCGGTGGTGGCTCCTGCCTTTAATCCCAGCACTCGGGAGGCAGAGGCAGGCGGATCTCTGTGAGTTCGAGGCCGGGCTGGACGACAGCCTCCAAAACAATAGAGAAACCCTATCTCGTAAAAACCAAAAAAAAAAAAAAAAAAAAAAAAAAAAAGAATTAAATTACCAAACCAGTCCTATATTTATCGAATCTGTTCCCTACGTATGTCCTCACTAGTGAATTCCACCAAAGATTTAAGGGAAAAGAATACTATTCCGTGAAGCCTTCTCAGAAAGTAGATAATAAGAGACTCCTGAACTTGTTTTACAAGTCCAGCATTATCTTGATAATAAAGCCAGATAAAGAAACCACAGGAAATTAGTCACACCACAGAGCAATAGTGTCTAAACATAAATGCACAATGTTTAACAAAGCCATAGAAAATCAAAGAAATAATATAGGAAGCATAATTTTGACCAAAATAATTAACCCAAGGAATGTATAAGGTTGGATTAATATTGGAAAATCAGTGCCATTCACTATGTTAACGGTAAAAAAAAAAATTGTATGATCACCCCAAAAGTGTAGAATGTGTATTTGAACTGGTAAGTAGAAAATTTTTAGCAAAGTAAAACTAGAAAGGGAACTGATCTTTATGATATATAAACATAATCCCAAACAAAGTTTTTTTGACATTTACAATTTCATTCTAAAAGTGACATGAAATGTAAAGGTTCTAAAGCCAATTTTACAAAAGGTTCTACATGGTGTCAAAGATTAGTATATAAAGTAATCTGTGTCAAAACTCTTCAAATCCTATGATGCATATGGATGCAGCTTACAGTCTATAAACATATCCTAAGATTGCTACTACCCGAGACAGGTGCATCTCTGTGAGTTCAAGGCCAGCATGGTCTACAGAGCGAGTTCCAGGACAACCAGGGCTACACAGAGAAACCCTGTCTCAAAACACTCCCTCCTCCAAAAAGAAAATTATAATTAAAAAAAAAACTGTCCGATCAGATACAATAAGACAACTAGACCAAAATGTAACGGAACAAGAAAATTATCTTCTAAACATCTCAAGTGAAAGGAAAATTTAAAACTATAGGAAAGAATAATAAAGAAAGTATGAACTATCAGATTCCACAGGAGACAGCTGAAGATACACAGAGGAAGTCTCATAGCCCTTGATAATTTATCACCAAATAAGAGAATGAAATGATCCAAAGCTGGAGAATACAATGAATGAGAAAACCAGGAGGAAAGAAAAAAGAGAATAGGAATATAAAATAAATGCACATGCTGGATCTTGAAAAACAACTGATTTATGAATAGCAACCTAGTACAATATTCTCAAATGATAAGCATACAAGAAATTAAAATAGCAAACTATTTATAGGTATAAAAGAAAGTTATGAGATTACACTGCTCAGGAAATAAAACTGATAATGGAAATGAAAATAAATAGTAGACAAACACACACAACTTAAAGAAACCATAGAGGCTATTTACTACAGAAAACTGTCAAACATCTGCTTCCCTGAGACCCCAGCATCGGGTGTTACCTCTCGGCCATTCATTGTCTCTAAACCAGACTTTCAAGCCTCTGAGTTCAACTGCAGGCTGCATTTTATATACCCATGCTCCCTCCCTATACCCCAGACAGAATCTCCAGGCCCGCTAGAGCTCACCATGTAGGTGATCCTCCTGCCTCCACCTCCCCCGTGCTGGGGTTAGAGGTGTGCACCACCATGGCAGATTCATGCAGTGCTGGGGATGAACCCAAGATTTTACAGAAGCTGGGCAGGCGCTCCACCAATGGAGCTACTTCCCCAAGCCCTGGAATTCTTTGTCCTCAGCCAAACCCGTCTCTCCTCCTACCAACCCATTTCTTCTGATTATCTCTATTTCGAGTATCACCCTGGAAATACCCGCATTTGAAAAAAAAGCTGTGAGACTAAGTTTTCTCTGATGGTTTACAACTTCCAAATAAGCCACAGCATTGAGGATGCTGCGTCCCAAGCAGAAAACTCAGTGAAGAGTAAGTGAATGAATGAATTAAAGCATCAGTCTTTCGGTGTAAGAGGAATGAGTGGGCCGGGCGGTGGTGGCGCATGCCTTTAATCCCAGCACTCGGGAGGCAGAGGCAGGCGGATCTCTGTGAGTTCGAGGCCGGGCTGGACGACAGTCTCCAAAACAATAGAGAAACCCTGTCTCGTAAAACCAAAAAAAAAAAAAAAAAAAAAAAAAAAAAAGAGGAATGAGTGGTTGAAAAGGAATGAGTCTAGGTTTTTCTTTTTCTTTCTTTTGTTTTTAATGCAACAAACCAACCAGTGCAAAACTAAAAGACAAAAGGACAAGGACTCATTGTGACATTTGGATCCAGAGAAGAGGGATGAGTTAGCAGAGATAATAGTAACTTGTGAGATAAAGTGTACAGAAGCATAATTCAGGGGATTGTGCTCGTGTTTCTTCCTAGGCCTTGGTGCTAGGATGTGTATTACATTCAGTCTTTTAACTGTCTCGTGCTGGGCTGGAGAGATGGCGCAGTGGTTAACACCACACACTGCTCTTTCAGAGGGCTGGGCTTGGTTCCAAGCACCCACATAGCATCTAACAACCAGCTGCAACTCTAGTTCCTGAGGATCTGATGCCCTCTTTTGGCTTCTGTGGGCATACAAGTGGTATAGACATACATACAGACCAAACACCCCCCCACATATAATAATGAATAATTGTGTGTGTATGTGGGTGGGTTGAGACAGGGTTTCTCTGTATTGTTTTGGAGGCTGTCCTGGAACTCCCTCTGTAGACCAGGCTGGCCTTGAACTCATAGAGATCTGCCTGTTTCTGCCTCCCGAGTGCTGGGATTAAAGACGTGAGCCACCACTGCCCAGCATGAATAAATCTTTAAAAAAAAAAACATAAATTGAGCTGGGCGTTGGTGGCGCACGCCTTTAATCCCAGCACTAGGGAAGCAGAGGCAGGCGGATCTCTGTGAGTTCGAGACCAGCCTGGACTACAGAGTGAATCCAGGACAGCCTCCAAAGCCACAGAAAAACCCTGTTTCGAAAAAACCAGGAAAAAAAATTTGTCAGGTGCAGTTAGTTCACCCATTTGCATGTTTTAGGGTTCTCCAAGACCCCTTGTCTGGGGATGGGCTGTCCCTCTCAAACCATCCCTGTGAGAAGGGGGAAATAATACTGCAATAGCCCCCAGTAGAAACACCATGTGCACAGTGTTGGAGAGATGGTTCAGCAAGCACACTGGTTGCTTTTGCAAAGGCCCTGGGTTCAGTTCCCAGCACCCACACGGTGGTGTAGAAATGTTAGTGAATCCAGGTCCAGGCATCCGACTCCCTCTCCTGGCCTCCGCAGGCATTGCGTGCGGTGTACTTACTATGCAGACAAAGCACTCATACGCATGAAATAAAAGCAAATCTTACAAAAAGGGAATACCATGCCCTTGCGAACAGTGGCTCTCACCCTTCCTAATACTGCACCCCTTTAATATAGTTCCTCATGTTGTGGTGACCCCAACAATCAAATCATTTTCGTTGCTGCTTCATAAATGTAATTTTGCTATTGTTATGAATCATAATGTAAGTATCTGTGTTTTCTGATGGTCTTAGGCAAACCCAGAGAAAGGGTTGTTCAACAGCCCCCATGAGTCGAGGCCCACAGAGTTTGAAGCACTTTGTTTCAGAAAAAAAAGTGTCCTTGAACACAGCTAGGAGGAAGATATTCCCAGGCACCTTCCCAAAGCAGCTACTGTCCACCCTATGAAACAAACAAAAAAAGCCCGTGGTGGGAATGGTTAATGGTGGAGACCGTGAATAGGAAGTCTCACTCGGGGAAGGCCTGGAGCCCTGTGTCCATCCAAAACTCCTGGTTCCCCGGCTCCCCTTGTCAATGTGAGCGTCTGACCTGATGCTCTACTGCCTCTCTGCAGCTTGCTGTTTCTTCTTCTACTGCTGCAGACTGTGCACGTACTAAACTCCCTCCCTCCCTCCCTCCCTCCCTCCCTCCCTCCCTCCCTCCCTCCCTCCCTCCCTCCCTCCCTCCCTCAGTCTAAAGCAGCCTGTTGGATTGTCCCTCGCATGGACCACACGCTTTAACAAAACCTACTCCAGAAGCGCCAACGACGGGCTGGGCCTTGGCCAACATGTGAGCCTCTCCCGACCGGAGCCCCCCCTCCCTAGCTTGTCCCCACTCACCAGGGCTTGCACCGCTGGATCCCTCCTTCTGCACCATGCAGGGCTCTTTTCCTTGTTCCAGTAGTGAGATCACAGCTGGCTTGTAAACAGGAATTCCTGCTTCCAAGAAACAAGAGGAATCAGCCCCGCTCGGAGACCAAGTCGAGACCCCCGCTCATGGGAAGGTGACGGTTACAGGTGGGAGCTCAGGGAGACGGGGAATATTCTTTAGTGAGCGACACTAAGGGACAGGCTGTAAAAAGCTACCTACTCTGTAAAATGTTAACTTTTGCGGGGGAGCAGAAGAAAAAGGAGGCGGCAGATTGGCTGACAGCAGCTAGTGAGAGCTCTGGTGGACCTGCCCGGGACTGAACCAGGCCCTCTGGATGTGGGCGACAGTTACGTGACTTGATCTGTTTGTTGGGGAGAGGTCCTGGCAATAGGATCATGGACCGGCTCTTTTGAGTCCATTCCCTAAGGTGGGACACCATGCTCGGCCTTGATACAGCAGCGAGGGGCTTGGTCCTGCCTCAACTTGGTACAGACTCCCCAAGGAAGGACTTACCCACGCTAAGGAGGGAGGACAGGAGACAGGGAGGGGGGGGACTCGGGTTGGTAATGTAAAATGAAAACTAATTTTCTGAATTAAAACAAGGAAAAGGGGGGGGGGAAGCAGTTCTCTCGGAACTTTCGGAAGTGGGTTTGCTAGCTTGCCCGGGCTGTTTCCGGAGGCACTCCTCCTTCTCCAGCAGCAGTGGCTGTCCTTAGTTGTCAACTTGACCACACCTGGAGCTACCTAAAACCCACGTGGCTGATACACCTGAGAGGGACTTTTTTCTTTTTTAAAGATTTATTTATTACATATACAGTGTTCTGTCTACACTCCAGAAGAGGACACCAGATTGAATTGTAGATGGTTGTGAGCCACCATGTGGTTGCTGGGAATTGAACTCAGGACCTCTGGAAGAGCAGTCAGTGCTCTTAACCTCTGAGCCATCTCTCCAGTCCCCGACTTTTTTTCTTTTTTCTTGGTTTTTCGAAGCAGGGTTTCTCTATGGCTTTGGAGGCTGTCCTGGAACTAGCTCTTGTAGACCAGGCTGGTCTCGAACTCAGAGATCCAACTGTCTCTGCCTCAAGTGCTGGGATTAAAGGCGTGCGCCACCACCTCGTGGCCAGGGCCTTTTTTCTTAATTAGAGCATTTGAAGTGGGAAGATCCACCTTCAGTCTGGCCCACACCTCTCCCTGACAGCCGATATGAAGAGTCTGCTTGCTCTAGATCCTGCTGGCCAAGGCCACAGCTTTACTGGAATCAGAGCCGACTTTGAGATTTTGGTGTGCACTGAAGGCCAGCCGAGACATCCAGTAAGCCATTCTAATAAATCCCATGTGTATGTATGTATCATACACATTATGTATATATACACAGATGTACATATAATGTAACATTTGTGAAAACCATGTATGAGTACACCCATGTATATAAACCCATCCTATCAGTTCTGTTCCTCTAGAGAACCCTGGCTAACACACCAGCCCTCTGCACTCACGGAGCTACGGGCATACGGGCCACTCCAGGGGCTTGAGAAAGAGATGCTGGGCCGATAAAATGGCTCAGTGGTAAGAGTGCTTGCTGTGTAAGCCTCCTGGCCTAAGTTCCACTCATGGAACCCTGGAAAGGCGGGGGGAGACCTGACTCCACGGAGCTGTCCTCTGACCGGCACGTGCACACTGTGGCCCGTGGCACAATTCCCCAGCACACACAGATAGTGAAAGGGGCCAGTGAGGCGGTTCAGTTGGGGAAAGGTGCTAACTGCCTGCAACCCCCCCCCGCAAGAATTGCATTCTATCCTCAGGGCCAACTAACTCTTGAAAGCTGTCCTCTGATTTCCAAATGTCTCTCTCTGTCTCTCTCTCTCACACACACACACACACACACACACGTGACTTTAAAACTTTTTTAATATAAAGGGGAAATTTAGTAAAGCAACTCAGAGGCATCCCAGAGACATTCTGCAGAACACAGCCCCACATGCAGAACTGGAAATCCATAGAGACCTCCTCTTACCCAGCGACACCAGGCTCCTGTAGTTCTCCAGGGTCACCTTCCTGTACAAGTCTCTCTGAGCATCGTTCAGGCATTTCCATTCCTCTCGAGTGAAGTTTACAGATACATCCCCAAAGGTCACCAGCTCCTGAAACGACACAAACACATCCTGGTTCAAGTGCTCCCACGGGCCTCCATTAAGTAGCTTACCCTGGACACGGCAGCACATTCCTGTAATCCCAGCACTCAGGAGGCAGCCTGGGCTACAAAGTGAGTGCAAAGCTATACTGTGAGACCCTGCCCCAAACCAACAAAAATAATACAACACAAAAGTCTCAGGACCAGCTAGACTGCCTATGGTTTGGGAAAAGCAAATATGGTTTGCTTTTTCTGTTGTTTTGAGATAGGGTCTTGCACGTGGCTCAGGGCTGTCTCAAACTCACAGCCCTCTGCCTCAGCTTCCCAAGTGCTAAGACTGTGTGTGTGTATCGCCTTGTCTGTCTTATATGCCCCCTTAGATAGGGTGTAGCTACACAACTCAAGCTGGTCTTGAACTCTTGGTCTTCTGCCTTAGTCCCCCAAGTGCTGGACTTACAGGTATGGCTACTGTAAGTCCTTCAAGGCACAAGTGGCCAGGTCCCCCCCCCCAACTACTCTAAAGACCACAAAGGCAGTTTCTAGCCCCTGGAGACGCAGGTGGTCAAGCTCTGCCCTACGGGACCAAAAAAAGAAAAAGAGCCCAAGATCAGGAGAAAGGAATGTCACCAATCCCTGAGCTTGCCCCAAGAGGAGGCCACAAAATCCCAGCAATCATAGGCCACCCTACAAGGCTCCGCCCCCCAAGAAACCCTAGAGTATAAAGCCTGCTTCCTGCTTAGTCCCCTGCCGCTTCTACCCTGAGCAGAAGCAACCATCTTTTTTTTAATACTTATTTATCTATTTATTAAGTATACAGTGTTCTTCCTGCATGTCTGCCTACAGGCCAGAAGAGGGCACCAGATCTTATTATAGATGGTTATGAACTACCATATGGTTGCTGGGAATTGAACCCAGGACCTCTGGAAGAGCAGCCAGGGCTCTTAACCTCTGAGCCATCTCTCCAGCCCGGCAGCCATCTCCTTGTGCCTCTCCCAATAAATCTCTTGTGAGGTTTGTTGTGTGGTGTGACTTTGTGGTATTCCTTGGCTCCTGACTCCCCTCAGAGCTGTAACACTTATAGCCACCACCTTACTTTCTAAAACATTATTGTCAAGTGATTGCCATGCTTGGTTTTGGTATTCTCTTATGAGAATTGCGTAACTTCTGAGAAACTATTTACTGCTGGAGAAAAGAGTTACCACTCATATACAGATCAGTAACACTAAAACCAACAGTGTCCAATGGGTGATTCACACTAAACGCCAAAGAACTCCATTTGGAGAAAACAGGATACACCCGGGCAGAAAAAAAAAAAAAAAAAGGAATGTTATGTGAGTGATGGATTGGTATTAACTTAGAAACTAAAGAATTTATAAAAGTGATTTATAATTAATTAGATGCGTCCAAACAAGGCAAAAGAAGAAATAAAGTTGTAAACAAAGAGCAGATGAAATAAAAGGAAAACAAGGAGAATGTTAGGTTTACACCAACACCTGTAAGTCCTAATGTTGGGGAAAGATGTACTAATTAAAAGACTATAGGATTTATTTTCATAATCTCTTTATAAAGAGCACTTTAAAATGTAATCTTTATTGACAGTAATTATCTTATGAGCTTATGTGTATGAGTGTTTTGCCTGCATGTATGTCTGTTCACTATGCATGTGCTTGGAGCCATGGAGGCCAGAAAAGGGCATCATATCTCCTGGGATTGGCATTACAGATGGCTGTGGGTGACCCCCCCGCCCCGTTCTCAACCTTCCTACTGCTGAGACCCTTTAATACAGTTCATGTTGTAGTGACCCCAGACCATAACACCACTTTTGTTACTACTTCGTAACTGTAATTTTCCTACTGTTATGAACCATAATGTAAACACTGATATGCAGGATATCTGTGCAACCCATTGTGAAAGGGTTGTTCAACCCCCAAGTGGATTGCAAGCTACAGGTTGAGACCACGGCTCTAAAGAACCCTGACTAATATATTTTCTAAAAGACGGCTCTAGTATACCATGACTTGAGATGGGGGAAGGTCACCTTACCCTATGAACGTCACCTAGCTCATAAATATTCATAAGGACTATTAAATCCAAATGGAGAACTCATACATAGTGCTGGCGTTTGTGATGGCTGGTGCAGCCAACTGGACAGGTGTAAGTGTTATAGCCCTGAGAGAGGTGTCCTGGCAGTCAGGAGCCAAGGAATGCCACAAAGTCACACACCGCACAACACACCTCACAAGAGATTCCCTGGGAAAAACACAGAGATGGCTGTCTCTGCTTGGGTGAGAAGCAGCAAAGAACACACGAACACACACACACACACACACACACGAGAGAGAGAGAGAGAGAGAGAGAGAGAGAGAGAGAGAGAGAGAGAGAGAGAGAGAGAGAGAGAGTTTCTTGGGGACAGAACTTTCCAGGGTGGAGATTTTCAGGAAGGTGGAGAATCCATGGGACTTCAAGTCCTAAACTTGGGGAGAGCTCATGGATTGGTGGGATTTCAAGCCCCAGAAGTGAGCTCGGACTTTTTATCCTACACTAGAATCACCAAGTGTCTCTTTCCTCCTCCTCCTCCTCCCCTTGTTGTTTTGAGCAGGGTTTCTCTGTGTGTAACTGCCCTGGCTGTTCTTGAACTGGCTCTATAGACCAGGCTGGTCTTGGACTCACAGAGATCCACTTGCCTCTGCTGCCCCTAGTGTTGGATTAAAGGCGTGCACCACCACAGCCTGGCCTCACTCGGTGTCCCAACTGTCTTTTCTGTTGCTGTGATAGAATAACCCGACAATGGCTGGAGAGATGGCTCAGTTCCCAGCTTGGGGTGCTCACAACATGGTGTCTTACAAACTGTCTGCACCTCCAGTTCCAGGGGCTTGCCCCTCTCCCTCCCTCCTCGGAACTCCCTGTGTAGCAGGCAGGCACACGGTACACAGGTATACACGTAGGTAAAACATTCATACACACAAGATAAACAAAGCTAAAGAACGAAAAAGCGCCCTGACAAAAATAACTCCAGTGGGAAAGGAAGGATTTATTTCAGCTCACAGTTCAAGGTTATGGTCCATCATTGGGGAGGGAAGAACAGGGACAGGAACTCCAGACACCTGATCTCACTGCACCGTAGTAAAGTAACAGTGATGGCTGGGTGGTGGCGGCACACACCGTTAGTCCCAGCACTCTATTGGCAGAGGCAGGTGAGTCTGAGTTGGTGGCCGGTATGGTCTACAGAGCGAGTTCCAGGACAGTCAGGGCTCCAGAGAAACCCTGTCTCAAACAAACAAGGAATGCCTCTCCCCATAAGTTTATATAGTTGGATCTCAGGCATCAGTGAGTAGTACTTCTTGAGAAGGATTAGGAGGTGTGGCCTTGTCACAGGAAGTGTGTCACTGGGGCAAAGTTTTGAGGTTTCAAAAAAGTCGAAGCCAGGCCCGGTAGCTCTCTACTTAATTCCTTTAATCCCAGCACTCGGGAGGCAGAGGCAGGAGGATCTCTGTGAGTTCGAGGCCAGCCTGGTCTACAGAGAGAGTTCCAGGACAGCCTCCAAAACAATACAGAGAAGCCCTGTCTCGGAAAAACAAACAAACAAGCAAAAAATTTTCTTCAACACCATATCTGTCTGAGTGACACCATGCTCCCAGCCATGATAATGGGCTAAACCTCTGAAACTGTAAGCCCGCTCACAGTTAAATGCTTTCTTTTATAAGAATTGCCATGGTTGGGGCTGGAGAGATGGCTCAGAGGTTAAGAGCACTGGCTGCTCTTCCAGAGGTCCTGAGTTCAATTCCCAGCAACCACTTGATGGCTCACAGCCATCTGTAATGAGATCTGGGGCCCTCTTCTGGCCTGCAGGTGTACATGCAGGCAGAACACTATACAATAAGTGAATGAATGATGAATAAATAAACAGATGAAGAATTTATGTGGTCATGGCGTCTCTTCACAGTAATAGAAACCCTAAGACACCACCCAAGGGGCTGGAGAGATGGCTCAGTGGTTAAGAGCACTGGATGATCTTTCAGAGGACCCTGGTTCAATTCCCAGCATCCATATGGCAGCTCACCGTGGTCCGTAACGCCTGTCTCAGGAGATCTGATGCCCTCTTCTCGAGTCTGCAGGCGCTGGGCATGCATGTGCTCTGCAGACACCCATAAAACCAAAAAACAAGACAAGACACCGCCCAAGTGTATTTCTGCCTCATTAGAGTTCCTAAGAGCACCAAAGCCATAGGGGAGGTGGAATGAGTCCTTGAATGAAGAAGCAAATGCTGGCTGGGGGGGTGGGACGCTCTTGGGCTTTTGGGGACGCTCTTCTGTGATGCCATGGAGAACAAGACCAAGTCACTGGGCTGGGGAGATTTTGTCGGACTGCTGAATCTTGGAAACTGAAATGCCCCTTTAGCCTGACTGAGAAATAAGGTGGCATTTCAGGGACTAAGAAATGCTTCTTACCTTGGACATGGCGTTCAAGCTTCAAGAATATACGGCTGCGTTTCTGGGAGGGGGGTGATGTCCTGAGAAAGCAGAGCTGGACAGGAAAAAGAAACGGTGAGTTCCAAGTGCGCCCGGCTGCCTCCAGCACCGCCAGCCCAGAAGCCTTCCATTCTTTAAATTCAGTTACTTTCCCCGTGTACTTTAGAACTCCGGAACTCAACACGCACTTTCATGTCTACATTATCTCTTCCACTTACAGCGATAAAATAGTAAGAGCGAAGGCGTTATCAAGTAAGAACCTTCCGGCCTTTCGCACACAAAGGTTTTTCACAGCTGAAGATACCCGAGGGAGTCGCTGGGCAAGTAACTGAGCCAAACTGGAAACCAGACCTGAATTTACAGTGTACAGATGATGATGCTAACAGGAAGTGTGTCTCTACCCTTTCCACAAGGATGAGAAATAGGCTCCCGAATGAAGCTACTTTACACAGTGGGCATCAGAGGGGCCGTGTCATCTGGAAGACACTGCCAAGGAGCTGCTCCTGAAAGCCACTTCCTCAAAAAGGGAAGAGAGGGGAAATGTGTTCAGTCACCGTTTGTTTTTTGAGACAGGGTTTCTCCGTGTTGTTTTGGAGACGGTCTGTTGGGCCCCAGCCCCACCGGGTCTCTGTGAGTTGCTGGTTAGCCTACAAGTGCAACCTGTTTTCTAGTCCTGGCTTCCTGCCCCGGCCTTGACCCTCTGACATCAACATCCAGCAGGAGGAAAACTCGCTCTCTTCTACCTGAGGTTTTTCAACTATGCTGTAAACCTGTATATAAAGCTCCTCCCTCCTACATACACCGCCACGGCCTCAGTCTCGCTGTCACACACTTGTCACAGCCTGGGTCTCCCAGACTCCAAGAAAAGTCCTCGGTCCCAGGCCTCCTCGACCAAGTGGCACCCTGTCACCGGGGTCCCCAAACAAACTCTCCAGCCGCGGTCCCCTGCGCTGTGACGAACTGTCAACACAACTGTCCCAGCTTCGCGTCGGTCCCAGGGGTCGCACCCCACGCACCGGCGCGCACACACACACACACACACACACGCACGCACACACACACACACGCACACACGCACGCACACACACACACGCACACGCTGTCCCAGCCGTCCAGTCTTACGCGGCATCCGGTCACTGGTCCCCGATCGCACCGCGGCGTGGTCTCCTGCTGTCACGCACGCCGCCGCCACCACCCCGGGCTCGCCGAGGGTGCAGGCTCGGCCACGGGTGCTTCAGACGGGGGTGGCGCGGCCGCACTGCCACGCAGGTGTCGTCCCCCACGCACACACACACACACACAGCCCGGGGGCTGTCCCGCACTGGCCCGAGACTCTGCGGAGCCTCACGCCACTTCCAGCCGCACAGTCGCAGGCTCGCCGGGGCTGGGGACGCGGTCCCGGGCTCCCAGCCACGTGCCCCTCCCGCGCGGAGGCGTGGCCTCCCGCCACACACACGCACGCGCACACACACGCACACACACACACGCGCGCGGTACCCCGCTCCTCCTCCGGCCGCCTCACTCCTCGCCCGGCGCCGAGGCACGTCCCGCGGGGCCCGGGGCTCGATCTCGTGGCGCCCCGGGAGCTCACAAAGGCGCGGCTTGCAGGGCGGCTCGGCGCAGGGGCCTCTGGGAGGTGGAGTCCAGCGTCTGGCCGGAGCGGCGCGGGGCATGCTGGGAACGCCCCGGAGGGGGCGCGGCGGTTTTCGCGGGGCGGGGCGGGGCGGGGCGGGGCGGGGCGGGGTGGGGCGGGGCGGGGCGGGGGTGCGGGAGCAAGAGTCTCGGCAGGACTCGGTCGGTCCCTTCTTCGCCTCCGGGTTTCAGAAGCCGAACTCTTTCGGGCTGCGCAGGCGCAGCGTCCTCCGCCGCTCTAGCGAGGGGCGGGGGCGGGGAAATGCTCGGTCACGCATGCGCAGTGCTGACTGGCGGCTCTGCTGGCCCGAGTCAGCCAGACCAAGACTGCTAGTCCCCGAGTTGTTCAGGTCCCACGATGCTGTCTTCCTTACTTGTTTGTTTGGTTTCTCTCAGTATTATCTTTCCTTTTTTTTCCCCCATTTCTTCTTTTTTTCTTTTTGAGACGGGGGTTTCTCTGCAGCCCTGGCAGTCCTGTCACAGTGTAGACCAGGCTGGCCTCGAACTCACAGACCCACCTGCTTGAAGGCCTGTGCCACCACCGCCAAGCATGGCCACATTTAATAAACCCCCTCTCTCTGTACTTCAGCATTGTTTCTTTAAGTGGCTTATTGAGGAAAGTGAACACAGGGCCCAGGTACTGACCCCTACTCTTACTGCTGCGGTCCACAAGACCCTACAGGAAGATTCCAGGGGACGTCTCCCCCGGGCTAGCCCACGAGACCACACAGGAAGATTCCAGGGGACGTCTTCCCCGGGCTAGCCCACGAGACCCTACAGGAAGATTCCAGGGGACGTCTTCCCCAGGCTAGCCCACGAGACCCTACAGGAAGATTCCAGGGGACGTCTTCCCCGGGCTAGCCCACGAGACCCTACAGGAAGATTCCAGGGGACGTCTTCCCCGGGCTAGCCCACGAGACCCTACAGGAAGATTCCAGGGGACGTCTTCCCGGGCTAGCCCACGAGACCCTACAGGAAGATTCCAGGGACGTCTTCCCGGGCTAGCCCACGAGACCCTACAGGAAGATTCCAGGGACGTCTTCCCGGGCTAGCCCACGAGACCCTACAGGAAGATTCCAGGGGACGTCTTCCCCGGGCTAGCCCACGAGACCACACAGGAAGATTCCAGGGGACGTCTTCCCCGGGCTAGCCCACGAGACCACACAGGAAGATTCCAGGGGACGTCTTCCCCGGGCTAGCCCACGAGACCCTACAGGAAGATTCCAGGGGACGTCTTCCCCGGGCTAGCCCACGAGACCCTACAGGAAGATTCCAGGGGACGTCTTCCCCGGGCTAGCCCACGAGACCCTACAGGAAGATTCCAGGGGACGTCTTCCCCGGGCTAGCCCACGAGACCCTACAGGAAGATTCCAGGGGACGTCTTCCCCGGGCTAGCCCACGAGACCCTACAGGAAGATTCCAGGGGACGTCTTCCCCGGGCTAGCCCACGAGACCCTACAGGAAGATTCCAGGGGACGTGTTCCCCAGGCTAGCCCACCGGGTCAACGCACTCCACTGGACAGGAGCCCCGCAGGCAAAGGCTTGGGGACGCCTGCCTTCCGAATAGTCCCCGTCGTTCCTGTGCAGTCCCTGTGAAGCCGTAGCGCTCCCCCTTTCCCACGGCAGTGTGTTGACCAATTCTTGGACACAATTCCCCCTGGCGCTGGTGAGCTGGATAACCCTGGGAGATCTCATGTGGAAGGCGTCACACTCTGGAGGAAATCTTTTGTCCTCACAGTCAAATCTGCATAACTTGGAAGCCGGCTCCCTGCAGTTCTCTCCTGTGGCTGGCTGGATGCCCAGCGAGGAGAGCAGCCTCGCAGACGGCCGCTTTCATAGCTCCAGAAGGACACGCAGACGTCTGCCCCCGCTGGCAGGCAGGACTGGGGGGCAGCGGCCGGCGCAGAGTGAAGCTTGCTAGCCTGCGGCTCAGCTGGCAGCTGCAGCCTCCCGATCTCACCTCGTAGCTTCTCCCTGCGTTGGAAGCATTCGCTAGCAGTTGGCGAAAATGCTAATACGGATTAAGGGCCCTTTTTCCTTCCACAGCGTGAGCTGGTTGTCGTAGCCACCGCGACGCTGCTTTCAGCTCCGGCGAAAGCCAGGACAAAACCCAACTCACATGGTGTTTCTTTCTTTGCTTACGTTTATTAATTATAAACTTCTAGTATTTCTTCCTTGTTTTACGTTCATCATTTATAGACTTCTACGTTCACTGACCACATAAATGCAACTTTCTGCATTAACACTTTTCTCCCTTATTAGCGATAATACGCCCCTCATTCCACGTGCCCCTTCCCCCACCTCTTGAGTTCAGCAGGGACGCTTAGAGAGTCACGTACCCTCTGAGATGAGACTGGACACCTGCCTTATCCCACGATCTTATCTGCATTTCCTGATTCTGGGGGACATGCATGCCCGAATCCTTGTTATTGTTAGAGCTGTTAATTGTATCTGTATCGGACATAAAAAAGTAGAAACCCCTATTTTTGAAGAATAAAGAGCCATGAGAGGAACTAGGGTGTTAGCCGTTTTATTTCCCTGTCACCCTCAGACTCCTTTTAGAAAAACCCTACCCACCCACCTCCTGCCTAGCCCCTAGCCTGGACCCTGAGACAGCAGCCAGGCTGCAACTTGAATGCTGCTTACCATAGGTCTGGACTCAAAACAAAACAAAAAACCAAAAAAACCCAAAAACATTCAACAAGATTGTTCAGATGAGAGCAGAAAGACTACTGACCCAAATCATTATGGCCAAATTATTTTAAGGCAAGCTTTCTTATTCATGTACACGGGCTGCCTTCCCCTGAGGCCCAGTTCAAGAGGTCAGCTTTAGATGAGAGAGAGACAAGGTTTTTAAAGCTCAAGCGCCCTGCAGAAATAAAGACATGGTTGCCAAGTGGGCATGACAGCAGGTAGTCAATACAAGGAAGTCATATGTCTCATCACCTTTTGAAACAAAGGTAGGTTTGCAAGATGGTTATAGCAACTCTTTAAACAAAGACATGATTGCCATTCACGGAACAGGCAGTACAGAACCACGTGTAGTTAAGCTTATAGGTGAGGCACAGTCCAATCCTTTGGAAACAGGCTCAATCATAAACAGGAAGGAACCTAGTTTATCTGAGATAGACGCAGGCTGGTTCTTTACATATATTACACTTTTTTTCTCTAAGTATCTTACTAACTTGCTTGTGTTTTTTGAGACAGGGTTTTTCTGTGTAGCTGTCATGGAACTCACTCTGTAGACCAGGCTGGCCGGAACTCACAGAGATCAACCTGCCTCTGTCTCCCAAGACCTTAAATTAAATTAAAGGTGTGTGTCACCACTGCCCACTGCTAACTCTTATCTCTAGTCAGAATTGTCATTGATATCTCAAACAAGGTGGCTCACGACTTTAGGGGATCTGTGCACTCTTGCTGTCTGGGTTGGCACTGCACTCATGGAGTGCACACGCAGGCTCGCACACATAAAAAATCGTCTTTGGAAGTGCTCTATTGCTGTGAAGATACACCATGGCTAATCATATCGCCTGCAAAAATAAACTTATTTCTTATTTGCTGGTGTGTAAATTACCTTGCTTCAATCTTCGGTGTAAAACAGGGCTATGTTGTTGTTTTGTTTTTTCCCCATTAAGTGAAATTTTAGCTGTAGATCCTCTATAAATGGAAAACTTTTTTTCAGTCACATTTTCTAAAGTGTGCATCCACATATAACTGATTCCATACTAAACTACCCGTACAGGATTAAAATCACACACCACACACGGTCACAAAAGTTACTGGATACATAGCCATGGCCACGCGGCCACGCGACCACGCACCCCGCGCTACTTCCAGACGAAGAACACGGGATTCGAACACCCACGTCTCAGCACTTAGGAGCGTCCCTCGCGGCTCACAAAACATTGCTACACTTGCTTAGGGCGTTCGGCATCCTCGAGACTACATTTCGCAGAAAGGACTGCGACGTCAGCTTGCTCTCCAGCAGCGCCAGCGGCGCTTCTGCGCTTGCGCCATCTTCAGGCGAAGGGCGGTGAGTGCGCCGCTATTTGGGTGGTAATCGGACTGTACGCAGTAGGCAGCCGGACCAAGAAGAAAACGACGAGAGGATCCGGAGCTGTCCGGAAGCTCTGCGGTGAGTAGGGGAGCGCGGACCAAGAGTCCCAGCCTTCAGACTAATCGCGATGCCTAGCCCCACCGGCTTTTTATAGGCTTCCCGGTCCTGGACTACATTTCCCGTCGTTCCCCGCGGCTAGCGCTCATTGGCGTCTCCTTCTTGTGGTGCTCAATTTCTCAGCCAACCTGGTAGACCTAGGGCAGCTTGGGAACCGTCCTCCACTTTCTGGAATTAGGGATGTTTAGCGTTTAGATTTGTTTGCCTTTGTTTATTCTTAGACAAGGTATTGTTTTATTTTATATATTATATGTTTATATGCATATTAATATATGTACATATATATATATCATTAAAGCAGGTCTGGAGTTGCTTAAAGTACATTTGCAGTAATTTTTTTTGTTTATTCTTAGACAAGGTATTGTTTTATTTTATATATTATATGTTTATATGCATATTAATATATGTACATATATAATATATATCATTAAAGCAGGTCTGGAGTTGCTTAAAGTACATTTGCAGTACTTTTTTTTTTTTTTTTTGGTTTTTTGAGACAGGGTTTCTCTGTGGCTTTGGAGGCTGTCCTGGAACTAGCTCTTGTAGACCAGCCTGGCCTCGAACTCACAGAGATCCGCCTGCCTCTGCCTCCCGAGTGCTGGGATTAAAGGCGTGCGCCACCATCGCCCGGCGAGTATAGCCTTTTAAAAGGAGGTCTTGTATGTTATTATATGTATTGCCTGACCCCCAAATGACAAACTACAAAAGCTTGAATTTTGTGTTGATTTTTTGTGGGGGCCATTGTGTGCCGTGAACACCCACGTGGAGGTCGGAGGACACCTCACAGGAGTGGGTTCCCTCCTTCCACCGTGCGGGCTGTGGGAACCAAATTAAGATTGTGACGCCTTATAGCAGGTGCCTTTGTCCACTGAACGCTGCATTCGTCACCTAGGATGCTTTCCTCTGCCATTGCTTCTCTTGTTTTGAAACCATGTACCGGTAGTGGCTTGACCGGTTTTTGCTGAATGTTCATATAATTGTCAAATGCTCTAGTTGTGAATAACTTTTCTTGATGACTGATGGTTTTGTTTTGTTTTTCCCTGAGATAGGCTTTCTCTGTGTAACCTTGGCTATCCTGGAACTAACTTTGTAGACCAGGCTGGCCTCAAACTCAGAGATCCTCCTACCTTCTTCTTCTGAGAGCTGGGATTAAAGGTGCACACCATCACCTGGCAATAACTGATGCTTTTAATTTTTTTTTTTTTGAGAGGAAGTCTGCTTCCTGAGTGCTGGGCTTAAAGATGTGTATCATTGTGCTCAGCCCTCAATATCATTTTAAAGACTTACTTTTTAAAAATTTGCGTGTGTGTGTGTGTGTGTGTGTCTTGATTATTGATTTTATATTCTATTATGCTAGAAAATGCTTACACACCTACCTACTTGTGGACTTAACCTATTCATATACTATTTTTTTTTTTTTTGGTTTTACAAGACAGGGTTTCTCTGTATTTTTTGGGGGCTGTCAGTCCAGCCAGGCCTCGAACTCACAGAGATCTGCCTGCCTCTGCCTCCCGAGTGCTGGGATTAAAGGCGTGCGCCGCCAACGCCCGGCTATTCATGTACTATTGTGTGTGTTTTTCTTCAACAGCCTCCTACGCTGCCCTGTCTCTGGAAGGGTACGTTTATGTACCGGCGATGGGATACTGGTCCTGCTCCATCGAATTGTCTGATTAGCCTCTGCAGCTTCACCCGATTTGGCCTGTGGAGGTCTTTGTGAATTTGAAAGCTGGAGAAACAGCCAGGTTGGCTTGAGGGGTTCCATTTGATGAATGGGAGATCAAATTGCTGAGTCCTGTGGATACTTCATTTCGGGTCTAGGGCTGTGTACCTCATGCAAGTTCTCCTTTCTCCCTGGGTGAGGAGAGCTCTCCCTGTCCCTTGAATACTGTGGGTCTCCATCACTGGGACAGGTCTGAGGACGCCTGAGTTTTTCACCACCTGCAGTATTTGAGTGAAGTAGGGAGAAAGGACCACTCATGCTGTACCTCTTCCTGGTGTTGGGTGACAGTTTAGTCTAGCAGTTAGAAACAGGTGTGGACCTCACCCTGGCATTCAGGGAGCTGAGGCCTCCGAGTTTGCTCTTTCTTCCCTCAGCTCTGACATCTAAGGACTCTGTCCTTCCCCAAGACAGAAACGTGGAGGAAGACCTATCTGCCCTTGAACTCCTGGAAGTTATGCCGCTTGCAAGTTTTTAAATCACGGAAATATTTGTTATCCCCAAACTTCCTGCCCAGATTCCACCAGTTAATCTGGTTCCCCAGGTCTGTTTTAGAGCGTAAGAGAGATGGATGGTAGACCCTGTTTTGTTCTTTGAGACAGGGTTTCTCTGTATTGTCATGGAGGCTGTCCTGGAACCAGGCTGGTCTCGAACTCACAGAGATCTCCCTGCCTCTGCCTCCCGAGTGCTGGGATTAAAGGTGTGCGCCACCAACGCCCAGCCCAAGCTATGCCCTTTTTTGTTACTCTGACATGTGGTGATTCATTCTACAGTGAAATTTTTGGAGCAAATCTCCATTTCCCTGCATGAGAAGGGAGCATCCTTGTAGGTGCTAAGCTTTGAAAGAAGAGAGATATCACACAGGAAAATGGATTTAGTTACCATTTGGGCCTGTGGTTTATTGTCCTGCATTGCAAGAGATTGACATTTGGGTGTAATGGAGACCTAGCTGGGAATCCAGAGATTATATGTCAGAGTATGATCTGATTTGAGGTTTACACCAAACATTTGGGTCTTGCTCCATTTGCTTCTTCAGCTTAAGCACAAGAGAAATACAGAGCTGAGGATCATGGGAATAGCAAGTGAGAGTCTCATCCTGATGGGTTGGTGGGTAGGTTCTTGGAGCTTGGAAGAACTTTTGAGATTGAAAATGTGCTCTGATTCCAAAATATGAGGATGTTTTAGTCATTTTTTTAAAAGAGTATTTATTATGTATATATTCATTCCACCTGCATGTATGCCTGCAGGCCAGCAGAGGGCACCAGATCTCATTACGGATGGTTGTGAGCCACCATGTGGTTGCTGGGAATTGAACTCAGGACCTCTGGAAGAGCAGCCAGGGTTCTTAACCTCTGAGCCATCTCTCCAGCGCCTTAGCCATTCTTTTCACTTAAGAAACTGTACAGTCAATAAAAGTATTCTTCATTCCTCGTTTGTCTCGTGAAGAAAGCGCTTTGCACTATGTTCTGACGTAATGGCGAGCTGAGCTTGGCAGCAAACTTTTGACTTCAATGAAGCTCCTCTCTCTGAGATACACAACTTTTTCTTTGGACACAGGGTCTTACTGTATAACACTAGCTGGCCTGGAGATCAGGCTGGCCTCAGACTCTCACAGTGACCTACTTGCTTCGGCTTCTGGAGTGCTGATATTATAGGCATGTGGTACCACGGGGCTATAAAATGTTTTTAAAACATTTTCTTAACATGTAGGGGAAAGTTCATCAAGTATCTTTGTCCCAGAATAGAAACACATACTTCTAACCTGAATTGCGAATTTATGAAAACTCCACGGAACCTTTTAATTTTCATCCCTGACCTATCCACAGAAGTGTTATATCCAGCAAAGTGGAGTGTATGGAAATCCTGTAACCCTGTGCCTTCCATGTACTCATTTTTTTTTTTTGACAGCCAGCCCCTTCTGTTTTGTTCACTAGAACAACCCCTTTTCTACAGAGGCTTCCTCCAGCTCCTTCATCCCACCGGGAAACATCCTTGAAGGAAATATTCACGCAGTTTTCATACTTCTTGTTTCAGGGTTCAGAACTGTTCAGGGATGTGGCCATAGTTTTCTCCCAAGAGGGATGGGAGTTCCTCGAGCCTGTTCAGAGGGATTTGTACAGAGACGTGATGCTGGACAGCTACAGCCATCTGGTCTCACTGGGTAAAGTGGTCTGGCCTGTTAGTCTGGACAGTCCTGGGAGTCCCCCGTCCTGGTCAGTAATGGGGTGGCCTCTGGCATGCCCGTCCTTGTCAGTTCCATGTCTGGTCACTTTTGAGCATACAAAAGGCAGCCACTTGCTGGAATTCATGCCTTCCACTAGTCTTAGGTCACTATTGCATTTTTCTTTGGCCCTTTCTGTAGATGACATCCTACCCAGTGACAGAGCCCTGCATCTGAATCCCAAGGCCTTTCAGGGTGACCACATGGTGTGTTATTTTTTTCTCTTCTCCAGGTCTTAGCATATCCAAGCCTGATGTGATATCCAGCCTAGAGCAAGGAAAGAAGCCCTGGATAGAAGGAATAACAGGAGGCCTGTTTTCAGGTGAGTGACAGGCCTTGTCAGGAACTAGAAACCCAGAGACCTCAGCATTATTGCCATGTCTGCAGCTTGACCAGTTAGGCAGGACCAGAAATCACCAGTACAGCACTCTTCAGTTAGTTTTATAGAGTATAGTGGTGGCCTTACTTAGGAGAAAGGAAAAGTGTCCCCCTGGAATAAACCCACAAAACCCAATCATTTTAGGTGGATACAGTAGAGAAAATGGCATTTTGGAGAAAGGAGTACTTTCAAAGGAGTTTCTACAGAGGTAGCCAAAGTGTTTTCCCCACATGGTCAGAAGAGAACAAGCATTATATGGTCACTGTAATTCCTACAGCTCTGTCCATGGTTGTTCACAAAGTCTTCTGTTCATCAAGGTAGTAGTTTAATATCCTTGGCCATGCCAGCCATGGTGGCGCACGCCTTTAATCCCAGCACTTGGAAGCCAGAGGCAGGCGGATCTCTGTGAGTACCAGGACAGTCGGGACTGCTTTACAGAGAAAACCAAAAAAACAAAACCAACCAAACAAAAACCAAGTATCCTTGGCCAGCTATACTTTGTCTGCTTCCTTTGTAAGATGATAGCCGGCTGTCCTAGCGTTTGAGTGGATCAGTATGTAAGTGAGCAGCCTAACTGGAGTCCGTCTCTGCATCTGGATAGACCACAGCAGGCACTTGGATCAACCAAATGGTGTTTGAAAAGAATATGTCTCAGGGGCTGGAGAGATGGCTCAGAGGTTAAGAGCACCGGCTGCTCTTCCAGAGGTCCTGAGTTCAATTCCCAGCAACCACATGGTGGCTCACAGCCATCCATAATGAGATCTGGCGCCCCCTTCTGATGTGCAGACATACATGAAGCAAGATGTTGTATTCATAATAAATAAATATAAATCTTTTAAAAAAAAAGAATGTGTCTCTACTTTCTGACCTGTTCATGTGGCTTCATCCTTCTGTGTCGTGAGGACTGATAAGTTTGCAGGGTGCATTACTGAGGTGGCAGCAGCCAGCATCTTCCTCACAGAACCTGACGCCTCTTTGGCAGCAATACCTTCCACTCTATGCAAGCATCTTTTATTCCCGGAGCTTTCCATCAGAACACTCACAAAGCGACACTGATGTCACGCGGTGTCTGTGCGGTCCTCTGGACTCATCTGCTTCAGCCATGAACTTTATGAATGGATTCAGACGCAGTCGTCACTTTTGCCCGTGGTTCCTGACGTCATCATTCAATGAGTCTTTTTACTCAGTGGGGTTGGTCGCTGTGGTTGCGGTGTAACTTGCCACCTGTCCTGTAGTCCTGTGCCAGGTAGAATTGGATAAAATATGCCATGCAGCCACAAAATGATTCTCATTGTGTGTGTGTGTGTGTGTGTGTGTGTGTGTGTGTGTGTGTGTGTGAATGCCAGTGCGTGCATCCTGAGGCTCCTGTGTGGCGGTCAAGGATAACTTTTGGAGGGACTCTCACACTGTACAGAGGCAGAGGTTACCTTGTCTTTTGGCCATACTGTGTAATCCAGGGTCGTCCCAGGAGCCTCCCACCGATTCTGTTGTCTGCTTCTCATCTAACTGTAGGAATGCTGGGATTACATGGACGAGCCAGTGAATCTGGCTTCGTGTGGGTCCCGGGATTGAACTGCGGTCGCCAGGCTTTCATGGCATGCATTTACCCACTGAGCTACCTTGCCTGCCCCCGTGTGGTTCTCGCTTCTAATCTGACTAAGATCCAAACATGATGCTGTAGAAGGATCTCACCTCCCCCACCCGACGCCCAGTAAACTGAGCTCTAAACAAGACATAAGGTCATTCTTTTTCCAGCATTCCCTCTAAGTAATGGAAGAGTTCCAGAATGGACATGGCCGTGGTGGTCAGTTCCATTCCAGATTAAGCAGCCGGAGTAGGTGGGGACCAGAGGTACCTAAGGATAGCTGCTGTATTGTTACCGTGTCCTGGAAGACAGATGTGTCGGGGTACCCTCTGGCTTATTTTGTCCCTCCCACACATGCTAAGGCAGGTCAAGGATCCAGCCACACACCCCTCCTGTCACTGCTTTTTAAAGTTATGATAAAATACTCATAACCAAAACTACCATCTTTTTGTTTTTGTTTTTTGTTTTTTGGTTTTGTTTTTTTTTTTTTTTTGAGACAGGGTTTCTCTGTGGCTTTGGAGGCTGTCCTGGAACTCACTCTGTAGACCAGGCTGTCCTCGAACTCACAGAGATCCGCCTGCCTCTGCCTCCCGAGTGCTGGCACTAAAGGCGTGCGCCACCAATGCCCAGCAACTTCACCATTTTTTTGGGGGGGGGTTTTCGAGACAGGGTTTCTCTGTGGCTTTGGAGGCTGTCCTGGAACTCGCTCTGTAGACCAGGCTGTCCTCGAACTCACAGAGATCCGCCTGCCTCTGCCTCCCGAATGCTGGGATTAAAGGCGTGCGCCACCAACGCCCGGCCTGCTTCACCATTTTTTTAAGCATACAGTTCAGCCATATTAAGAACATCCACAGTGTCGGGTAGCCATCCCCTGGTCCGTCTCCAGCGCATCTGGCAGAGTCCGCGTGATTTTTGCAGAGCGTACAACATTGATACAACATAGGCCTCTTAAGTGCAGTGTTGCTGGATGCTGGCAGCTTTGTACACCTGTGTTACCACCACCAAATCAAGTGGGCAGTTCCTGGTATCCCTTCCTGTACCGCCCCCGAAGCCCTACCAGGAAGCTGTCCGCTTGCAGAGGTCACTCCTGATTATGTTTCGTAGAATCTACTCGTGTTTTTTCTAAGCATGGCTCAGGGCTGCACTGATGTTTTAGATCTAGTATAGCTCTGTTGTCATCCCACTTTTTAAAAAAAATATTTTATTTATTAATATTATGTGTCCAGTCTCCTGCCTGCAGGCCAGCAGAGGGCACCAGATTGAATTGTAAATGGTTGTGAGCCACCGTGTGGTTTCCGGGAATTGAACTCAGGACCTCTGGAAGAGCAGTCAGTGCTCTTAACCTCTGAGCCATCTCCCCAGCCCGTCATCCCACTTTTGCAGTGCTCCCTCTTCGGCTTTTCTGTTTGCCTGATTTCCAGTTGCTTAGTCACATCCAAGAGTAGGTAGGTGTTGAACCTCCCCATTCCCTTTTAAAGTCTGCCAAGGATTTATAGTGGCCGGGCAGTAGTGTCACACGCCTTTCATCCCAGCACTCGGGAGCCAGAGGCAGGTGGATCTCTGTGAGTTTGAGGCCAGCCTGGTCTATAGAGCTAGTTTAGAAACCTTGCCTTGGCCGGGCGTTGGTGGCGCACGCCTTTAATTCCAGCACTCGGGAGGCAGAGGCAGGTGGATCTCTGTGAGTTCGAGGCCAGCCTGGTCTACAAAGTGAGTTCCAGGACAGCCTCCAAAGCTACAGAGAAACCCTGTCTCAAAAAACAAAACAAAAAACAAAAAAAAACAAAAAAAAAAAAAAAAAGGAAACCTTGCCTTGAAAAACCAACCCCTCCCCCCAGAAAAAAAAGAAAGGTCATTAGTCACAGTGAATAAAAGCCATGAACAGGCCGGGCGGTGGTGGCGCACGCCTTTAATCCCAGCACTCGGGAGGCAGAGGCAGGTGGATCTCTGTGAGTTCGAGGCCGGGCTGGACCGATAGCCAAACCCTGTCTCGTAAAAAAACCAAAAAAAAAAAAAAAAAAAAAAAAAAAAGCTATGAACAGGTAATTATAGGTCCCGGGCCACCAACACAAGTTAGGATCTGATAAACATCAGGTGGTTCCAAGGGTAATCTCAGCTGTATTGTGACCAGCTAGGTTGTCCACAAACACAGAAATGGGTCTTCATGCTCCCCTCACCCCCTGGATTTCTGGGCTAGACAATGGGAAAGGAGACCTTTCTGTGAGCAGTCACATGTCAGAAGGCTTTGTAGCTATGATCGTGGGACACTCGTGTGTGACAAGACGCTGAGCAGTGGCAGGGAGGAGCTTCTCATGGGTGGCCCTCCTGAGAAGCTGCCAGCTTTCATTCTCGTTTCTTTTTCTGGAAAAAGGAAGATACCCATTTTCTGTTCCTCTTCCTTTTCAGCCTTGGAATCTGGGTGTGGTACCAAAATATCCTCAAATCGACACGCTCATGAGATGGAGTCACCACGGGGGGGGGGTAACGGGAGGCCTCACAAGCTCCAGTCTTGAGAGCTCGAGTTGCCAAGACAAGCGGGCAATCCAGACAGAACTGCCGGGCCCGTGTTAACCAGTCATGAAGAAATGCCCACGTTAAACCGGCAAGCCTCCCTTTCTTTTTACCAGACAAAGTCCTGTAGATCCAATAAGCGCAGGAAAGACTTCTGGCAAGAGCAGGTCCTTATTAATCGAGGAATTCCTACTAGTGAGAAGCCCTACAAATGTAGGGAATGTGGGAAGGCCTTTAAATATGGTTCGCGACTAGTCCAGCATGAGAATATTCACTCTGGCAAGAAGCCTTATGAATGTAAAGAGTGTGGCAAGGCCTTCGGTCGGGTCTCACATCTTAAAGTACACCGCAGAATCCTTACTGGGGAGAGGCCCTATGTGTGTAAGCAGTGTGGGAAGACCTTCAGTCCCAGGTCTCAGGTGACTCAACACCAGACCGTTCATACTGACTCTTTGAGCGCAAAGACTGTGGGAAGGCCTTTAATCAGGGCTCCACTCTTAGCCGGCATCAGAGGATTCACAGCGGGGAGAAGCCCTACCAGTGTAAGGTTTGCAGCAGGGCCTTCAAGAGGGTCTCACACCTCACGGTACATGACAAAACCCATGCGCATGACAGGCCGGCCGCGGGCACGTGGGTTTGCGGGAAGGCCGTTAGTCCTTGCTCACGACTCACTTGACATCAGGTGATCCAGTCCAAGGAGAGGCCCTTCGAGTATAATGAGCAGAATGAGTCACCATCGGAGGCTGCGCAGTAGAGGAACACGTGGGAACGTAGTCAACGTAGGAAAGCCGTCCCTTGGCACTTGCCCGCTGTCAGTCATCAGGGAATTGGTGCTGGCAAGCAACCACGTGAGCGGAAGCGATGCAAAGAACCCATTGGCTTAGGGCGATCCTAGCTGGTGCATCTTGGAGAAAGGGAAGCTAAATGCACTGAAAATGTGACGTCTCTGTTGAGAGTTTTCTAAATCCAAAAACAGGGAAAGGTTGGAAATAATTTTGTCTCCCAATACATCCGAGAATCTACTCATGGGATTTTTTTTTAAAGATTTATTATGTATACAATGTTCTCCCTGCATGTATTCCTGCAGGCCAGCAGAGGGCACCGGATCTCATTACAGATGGTTGTGAACCACCATGTGGTTGCTGGGAATTGAACTCAGGACCTCTGGAAGAGCAGCCAGTGCTCTTAACCTCTGAGCCGTCTCTCCAGCCCTAGTCATGGGATTTTTGTGGTGTTTTGGTGTTGTTTTGAGACATGGTCTCTCTATGGAACCTTGGCTGGCCTAGAATTTGCTGTGTAAACCAGGCTGGCCTCGAACTCATAGAAATCTGCCTGCCTCTGCCTTCTGAAAGCTCGGATATTAAAAGTATGTGCCAGTGGGTTAACAATGAAGTAAATCCTGCAGACACCATGAGTGATGACAAAAAGAAAGAATGGATACTTTTACATGCTAAGAAAGGAAAACAAAGCTATATTCAGGGTGTGGTGACATATGCCTTGAATCCTACCACTTGGGAGATAGCAGCTAGTGTGTCTGTGAGTTCCAGGCTAGCTGGACCCTGTTATAAAATAAAAATAACCCCAGCCCACGGGAACTAAAAGAATTTTATAAAAATTTCTGTGTGTATATGGATGTGCAAATACTTCAGTGCATGTGTAGTGATCAGAGGGTAACTCTGTG